AGGGAGCTTTACTCTGTATCTGACCCTGCGCTATTCCCTGTCCTGGGGGTGTTCGATGGGGGACAGTGCAGAGGGAGCTTTACTCTGTATCTAACCCCCTGATTTTTAAGCCTTTAATATGTTAAAGCATATTTTGTAGCCATTGGCCAGATTTCAGTGATTTTTGCAGTTGTTTTTTTTAATCCATTTCCTCCTGTGAGGAATCCATCACTATCAAAAATACACTCTCCTCCCTCTCTCAGGTCCAAAGCACAACAGGTTCTGCATTAAAACCCATTTGCCACACTGTTTCTCACCCACTCACTGTCAAACGTCCCCCTCCAACATTGACGGTGTCAATATGTCATCAGGAAGGTGAGGAGAGATTGCAGGGTATGGAGTGTAGGCTTGGATTTGGAGCTGGGATGGGAGCATTGTATTCGGTTTCGGGTGAGATTGGGAAGCTGTAAAATGGAGGGATGTGTCGCTGGGATGCAGGATGTGTTTTGTACCACTTTACTCCATTGCTGAAATTGTTCTTCCCTTTTGTAGGTGGCTCTTCACAAACTGACAGTGCCTTTGGGTACTTCAATACAGCGTGTGTGGTCATCCTGCTGGCCATTCTCGCCTACCTTGCCCTCCCCTACTTGGTGAGTTTTGTACTTTGTTTTAATCTAACAGGGGGAGGAGGCTGTGGGCCAGGGCTGCGCGGAGGCGAGTTCTTTCACTGAAGACACTCAGTGGGTCTAGATTGGTAAGGCAATATGTGCCCAGTGTTTTGTCTTGGTACTAGAAGGGTCACTGGACCTGAAATGTTCACTTTGCTTTCTCTCCAACGATGCTGCCAGACCTGCTGAGTTTCTCCAGCAATTTCTGATTTTGTTTCAGTTTCCACAGTTCTTTGTTTTATTTCTTGTCTATTTATCTTGAACTGTCCTGCAGGAGTTCTCTCAATATTACTTCAATAAGGGGAAAAGTGAATGGAAGAAGGACAAGGGGAAAGAGAAGGACAGGGTCTGCAAGATGGACCTGATCAAACAGGGTGAGTACAGAGCGAGGGCAGTGGGGAGGCTTACTGTCACTGGGCAATGCATCCAGAGAGCTAGGCTGAGGATACACAAGTTCAAATGGGACATCAACAGGAAAGACTGAACTGAGTTAATTCAATCTGGAATTAAACGCTTGTCTAATGATGACTGTATAACTACTGTCATTTGTAATAAAAAGGCAATCCATTTATATTCATGGGACTAGGCTGGGCCCAGCATTCATTGCCCGAGCCTAGTTGCCCCCTTGAGAAGGTGGTGGTGACCTGCCTTCTTGAACCACTGTGGGTTGACCCACAATACTGCTGGGGAGGGAATTCCAGGATTTTGACCCAGTGACACCAGAGAATAGGCCGATATATTTCCCAAGTCAGGATGGTGAGTGACTTGGAGGGGGACTTGCAGGGGGTGGTGTTCCCATGTATCTGCTGCCCTTGTCCTTCTAGATGGAAGTGGCCGTGGGTTTGGAAGGTGCTGTCTGATAATCCTTCTGCAGTGCATCTTGTAGATAGTACACACTGCTGCTACTGAGCGTCGGTGGTGGAGGGAGTAGATGCTTGTGGATGTGGTGCCAATCAAGTGGGCAGCTTTGTCCTGGATGGTGTTAAAT